CGTTGTTGTTTGGCGGGTCCGGGCTGGGGATTTGAACCCGCCACCTTAGGTGTACGTGGCTGGCGCCCTAGCCGGTTGAGCTATAGGCGCCGAGCCCTTTTGTCCTTTTTGTTTTCCATTCTTTCTTTTTTTTTTTTAACCCTGGACTGCACAGTGGCAACAGCCAGGTGAAATTACAGAAGTATTTTGTTTCATTGCTTATACTTTTTTTGCAGGTGAAATTTGAAGCTCAGAAGAAAATTTTACAAAGACTAGAGTCTTACATCCAAATGATCAATGGAGTCAATGTGACAACAGCTGCACCCAAATCTGATGGGCTGTCTTGTGTTCTCCATCCTATTATACCCTCTGTAAGTTCCTACCTCCCTGTTCCTTGTTTACTAAGTCCCCTTAATGGTTAATAATAGCAGCCATATTTACTGGGCACTTACTAGGTCCCATGCCCTATGCTAAGTGATTAATAGGCATCATTGTCTCATTTTATAGATGAAGACATAGAGGCCCAGAGAGATTAAGTAATTTGCCCAGGAAACACTTCTAGAAAGTGCCAGAGCTGAGATTTCACTCAGGTCTATCTGATACAGATGCTACTTTATCAACTACTCCACTTACCTTAGATTCTAGACTTTGGAAACCTTTTCATTGAGGCCTCAGAGAGGCAGAATTTCATTTATGGCAGGGATTGGCCTGATTTTGTAAATAAAGTTTTATTGGAATACAGCCAGGTTCTCTTGTTTATATGTTATCTGTGGCTGCTTTCTCAGTACAATGGCAGAGTTGAGTGGTCGTGGCAGGGGCCATATGGCCCACAAACCCTGAAATATTTACTCTGTGGTCCTTGACAGAAGAAATTTGCTGACTTTTGTGGTATGGCAAGATTGGAATTCCTTTCTACTATGGAGTGTCGTGATCTTCTCAGTCAAAGACTTTCACATATGCTATACCTTCCAAGCAAGCATCATTTGTCCTCAGCCACAGAACATTCCTGCTTTCCCTTTATTGTTGTTGTACTTGATTTCATTTGACCTTTTGTCACCCCTCCTATCCTCTGCCCTCTCCAGCCTGTCATCAGTGGCTACCGAAATAAGTCCACCTTTTCTGTGAACCGAGGTCCAGATGGCAATCCAAAGACTGTAGGATACTACCTGGGAACATGGAGAGGTCAGTCAAAAGACTGAGGGGAAGGAACGGTACGGAGAATGGTATCAGTAGGTGTGAAAAATAATGGTGGCCTTAAAGAAAAAGATTGAATTGAAAGTCTTTCATGCAGAACATGATCACAAGTTTCATTGTGGATACTTTTTGATGGGTAGTCATTGTAACATAGTGATAGAAATCACAACCCTCACCCTTTTTGACTCTAAAAGCCATATACCTAATACCTAGTAAACACTTAGTAAATGTTAGTATTGTTGCTGCTGTTGTCTCAGTGTCATCATCATTTTATGGTACTTTCCATACTGGAAGCAGTCTCATCTTTTCTATTTCCCATCCTTATATCCCTAGATATGGGGTTCAAGACCAGCCTGAGCAAGAGTGAGACCCTGTCTCTAAAAAATAGCCACACAGGGCTTGGCGCCTGTGGCTCAGGCGGCTAAGGCACCAGCCACATACACCTAAGGTGG